CGTAAGCATCAAATGGGCGTGCAATCGACGTCTAACGGACTTGTACGTCGTGCGGAGAGGTGATGCCCGGCCAGCGCTGCTTTTTCTTGTGGCACATTACATTCTGAGAGTCTTGGCTCATGTGCTGCGCGGTTATCATGCGAAGAGCTGCTAATTCGTATTTTGTATGGTGAAATGCGACTAGGTAAAGAAGCCCTTCTGCCCGGCCTGTGTGTCGCCAGCCGGGCCCGGGTCGTCGCCCACAGCTGTGTGTTTTGTGTGTGTGTGTGTGGGGGGGGGGGTTACGGTACGCCCAGCGATACGCGCCAATGTGCCATGTGTTCCGACGATAGGCGGGATATTATTTGATTTCCGGATAATTGGGGTGATTTGTACACAACAAAGTACTCGACCCCGGTCACTTCACTTCTGACCGAACGCACGAGTGCGGGCGGGTGCGGGTTGCCGTTGCCTACTCGCTAGGCTCGTAAGGCGCCGTGGACAGGGGCGATAGGCAAGCCCGCCCGCACTCGTGCGTGCGGTACAGCATAAGCACAGAAGTGAGCGGGTTTAATCGGCCACCTGGTATAGATGACAGTACAACCCAACTACGCAATAAGGTGTAACCATAACACGGGGAGCCGATTAGTTTAACGACGGAGTTTGTTGAGCTTCAAACTGATTTAAACTACAGCTCTGACAAGCAGTGGTGATCTAAAACTTTAAAAAACAACAAAAAACAATAATGAAAACCGAGGAAAATTTGAAAACAACTGCCACGCTTTTTTCGAGGCTTTTTTTTTTTGACAGCAGACACGAGTACGGGGCAACTTACAGGAGTAAACAACAGCACCTCCTCAATTTTCCCGCAATTAACTGACCTTCCCCGTGTCATGTCGCTCGTTGCACTCACCGTGCGTCCTCCTGGGTGTGCGGGGTGGCGCGGACGGGCGCGGCGGCGGCCCGCGACTGTGGGTTGTGAACACCAATCTACGAGCACTTATCGCTGCAATCAGTTCGTATCAGCGAGCGAGTGAGCGTCGGTTCCCATCTGCCCATTCGCGTCGGCGTTTAATTGATTTTTCGACTACGTCGACGAGGGGAGGGAAGTCCGCCACGCCTTCCACTTTGCGGGATGCATTTTCTCCATCATTTCTCGCCATGTTGTACAGTGACATTTCGTTTTTAAAACATAGAATTTATAATAAAAATACTTTGATCGGCCAATAACCACTGTGCTGCCAGTCTTATTTGTCATTCAGTGGTTGAAGAGTGCAAAAGTAGACCTATATTGACGAACAAGTTTCTCATAGTTTTAGCCTCGCTGCAGTGCCGCTGGGAAAAAGGGCGCTGCCCGGGAACACCGCGTGTGTGTACGAAACCGTACCGTAAAGGGGGTATTCATGCGCCACGGGAGGTTTGGGCGGTTTGGGCGTATTTCGGGATTCTAGAAACGGCAGTTCTTTCTATCGTATCGTCGTACCCTCATAGAATTCATCTACCGTAGGTTTGTGTTTACCATTTTGATCGTTTTGGCTTCTTTTTAAATTCGTTCACAAAACTTCAGACATGTGAGATTGATCTTTTGATGTGTCATACATTTCTAACCTATAGATACGGTTTGTCAGATAGGATTTAAAAGTTTACAAATGTTTTGTTCTCCTCATCATTAACATTTCTGATTCTCAACGTAATTTCGATTACATATTTAATTATTAATCTCTTAATGTTTCATGAAATGAGCTCCTAATTTGGTTTTTATCATCCTTCCTTTACTTCAAATCTTATCAGCATTCCTTTCCTTTTATGTATCCTTTTCTTACTGGCCACTTACTCATGCATGTCAGATATGTCAAGATGTCCATAAGCTCTGTTTTCTAATCTACACATTGTTGATGATAAAATTTTGACTGAATAGTGCATATATTATGTGTCACCTGTTGTTTTCAGTTCAATTTTAGTTCTGTCTTGATACCTATGAGTAGTTTTAAACAAATATTTTCTCTCTTTTCAGAAAATGGCAGACACTAAAGCCCCTGAAATTCTTGAGTCTCCAGACGTTGAGGAAGTAGACTCCAACTACAAACCACCACCTGAGAAGACAATTGAGGAGATTCTCGCTGCTGATAAGGAGGATGAAAGTCTTCGTAAATATAAAGAAGCTCTTTTGGGAGATGCAAAGGCAGGAGCTGTCATATTTGGTAAATTAGTGTATGATTGGATGTGCCCCTGTGGTTCTTTATACACTTGTTATTACTTACCATGTTTCTTTCCTAGATCCTAATGATGAGAGGAAAGTCATTGTCAAGAAGCTTGCTTTGTGTGTTCCGGACCGACCAGACATGGAACTTGACCTTACTGGTGATCTTTCCCAGCTGAAAAAACAGGTACAGGTGTAAAAAATCTCATGTTTTGTAGTCTCTGCTCTTCAAAGCTTGTCTTTTAATTCTTGTTCGTACCTTAGGTTTTCACCATCAAGGAAGGTGTATCCTATAGAATTCGTATTGATTTTATAGTCCAACGTGAAATTGTTCATGGTTTGAAATATGTGCAGAAGACCTACAGGATGGGGGTTCCAGGTTAGTAGGAAACTTCTTTTTTGTTGAGGGCATACTCTATTAAATCCATCCTTTGGCATTGCTATTGTGGAGACTTGTTACTTCCTATGGCTTGCTTTTTCTCTGTACATTGTTATTTTCAAAAGTATCAATTTTCTTTCCTTCCTTTCTTTTCTTTCTTTGGAACAGTAAGCACTATACCAGGTGGGTGAGTGTATTTTTTTTTTGTTTTTCTGTTTTGTTTTTAGGATTTTCTTCAGACATTAGTCATAGTGTTGGAGCCTACGGTAGCTGTCTTTTGTGTCTTTTTCAGCACTATGCACCAGTAGCTCACGAATTCTAGCTAATCATGCTGGTGCACCATTTGGATAATGCTATCCTATCATCATGTATTTCTTACTCATTGTAATTAATTTTCATTTCAGTTGACAAAATGACACACATGGTGGGCAGTTACCCGCCAAAGCTTGAAATGCAGTCGTACACAACGCCGGCAGAGGATGCACCCTCTGGAATGATGGCAAGAGGAAGTTACTCTGTTCAATCACTGTTCACTGATGATGACAAACATGAGCATCTTAAATGGGAGTGGGCTTTTGAAATTAAAAAAGATTGGAAGGAATAATTTGAGCTTTGTCCCCGCAAACCTGCAAGTATATAAGAAAAAAATAATAAGCTTTGCATTTGGGAGTTACGCATTTTAGTTTCCCTTATCTCCAGAACTGAATTGACAGTTACTTGTCTATGTAAAATTTTGCAATAACTGAAAGGACTGATTTAGAAAGATTGGGTTTGATCAGATCTTGTCAGATGTGAAGCTGAAATCTATGATTTATATAATTATTAAGTATTAAAAGTGTTGACATGTACCTATGGTTCATGTAACTTGTACTCCTGCTGGTCTCATATTTCTGTCTGTGACATTTTGGAAAATGCTAAAGATAGTATGCAGTAATGTAATAGATTTCATGCTCGTACCAAGGTTTGGATCAAAGAATTTAGATGCTAGTGTTTTGGTATTTTTTATGTAATGCTTACATGAAATGGAAGTAATCAAACAAATTGGAGAAAAATTTTAATACAAACATTTCAATTTGTGTAATTCGTGTGGATCAAATTTAAACCTATTTTGTTTAGATCTCTACTTTGTTTGGTTCCATGAATCCTTTTCACAATTTGAGGCAAGATAGGGTATTTATAGCATAGCTTTTATTTGGTGTCCCCAATAATTTTGGATTTTCTACCTGAAGGTATGTGGTGTAAAACAGTATTGTAGTTTACATTCACCTCTTTGAATATTTTATGCCATTGTTTTGTATCATTTTCTCAACTATTTGTTGACAGATATTTTTGAGACTATTACGTAATATTAGCAGTTGTATGGACCATTAATAATTTGACCACTTAGAGATTGGATTGGAGTATAGCTTTACTTTCCTAATAGCATTGCATCAAAACCTTATTAGTTTTAGAACCTGTAAAAAAAATTCCCTCTTTGATTACTTTCACTATCAGTGCCAATACCTCTAATGTTTAGTTGTGAGTACTGTTTTTGATTGTAATTGTAATCTGCTGAGCGATGCTTTTCTAATCCAGTATTTGTTTTATTGCTACCTGCTCACTTATTCACTTTTGTGAATCTCAGGTAGAATCCTTTTGTGGTACTTTGGGACATGTCTCTATGCTTTCATGTCGTGGAACTTTTGAACTACCAGTGCTCTATATATTTTAGTTGTGAATATTTGTATTTTTTATCCCGGAAAGAAAAAAAATACTTTTAGAAGTGTTACTATGCAGATTTTGCTCTCTTGTTTATAGTTTGTTTGACTTGTATTGATAAATTCCATCATGGGGACAACATTATTAATTCATGGAAATCAAATGTATTTTAGTGGAGGTTCTTTAAAGGTAGCATTCCTTCGGCTACATTGTTTGTGCTTATGCCAGATATGCCTCACTTATGGTTTTGGATTCCAACTTTTGTCCCTGTCAGTTTGATTATGAAAGAGACAGCTCTTTCCTACCATAGATTTTCAACGTACCATTTTTATTTATTTCTTGTATGGAATATGGCATTTAATGTGGAAAATCTGCTTGGATAGCATGGAACTGAAAATAATATTTACCCTATCAACTCATGCTAAGTTGTGATAATGTACGTTTACTTTTACTCAGTGAGCTGCTTTGAGTGTTCTGTTTTCATACTTATGTTATGTTACTTCAGTGCTTGGAGGGATTCGGGTGCCATTTGGGAATCTAACCTTATACAACCCAAATTTCTGTTCTGTTTGGTGTGTATTTGTGTTACCAAGTTATGTAAAGCAATGCTTTCCTTTGTTTTGTGTGGTAGATTAAAAGTTTGTGTGAAGCTGAAGAGCTAATATTTTTTGAATTACCTAGATTATACATACAGTAGTATTCAAGAAGTTGCATTTGTATACTTATTTTCCTAAAGGAGTTTTCAATTTGGTAGCCTTTGTAAATCAGCAAGGTTACAATTATGCATTTTCTAAATTTTTTTCGTGAAATGATTTTTATTTTGAAATAATTGTTGTCTTAGTTTTATACATATTTTCCTAACGTAATTCAAATGAAATTGTATTCTTTACCTGATCTGTTTTATGTTAATAGGGTTTTAATTTGTGCCTTTGCTCAGAACCAAACTTAATCATTCAGCCTTAATAAAAACTACCTAGTCAACGTAAATCTTTTGAGTTGAATCCTTAGCCAAATCCTTTAGAGGTATGGTAGAGAACCGTGAGGATTTTTCTAGAAAGTTACCTAGTTAAAACAAATAGCTATTTGGCCCAAATTCATCTGACTACATTTTTGTGTCAAAATAAAACCTGATCTGTTTCAGTGCACCTGTGTGGTTGATTTATCCTCTCACCTAGTATGTATAGTATTCTTAGAAAACATGTGGAAATTGGCTAAAATAATTAGCTGTTTAAATTGAGAAATAATAGTTTATATACATCTATGTACAAGACTTAGAGATAACATGAAAGCGAAGAACAGATCAAGATGTGATTTGAAATTGCCGTTATGTGACAGCCAGGTGAATCTCAATCTCAATGATGGAAACGTTTCTCCATGGTTGCATCTCTTCGGGGGTTGTATCCTCTGAGCATGAGGCCCTGAGCAGGCGACACGTGCTTTTTCTCCAACTGCTCATCGTCAGCAGCCATTATCTGCAAGCAGGAAACACCCATTAATAGAGGGATTACACTGGCAGCTGAAAGCAGTGCACTTAATAGCCCAAAATCTTACCTGTGCCAAGAACATTCTCCTGGTGCGGTCGGAGTTGTTAACGTAGCTGCCGTGCAATAGCAGGTACGAGAAGATGACCACTTCTCCGCGCTTGGCGATGATGGGGGTGGCGCCCTCGATGGGGTACTTGGCGGGGTCCGCCCAGTGGTATTCTTGGCCGTCCTCAAACACGCCGTGGTCCTTGAGGACGCCCAGCTTGTGGGAGCCAGGGTACACGCACAGGCCACCGTTCTCGCGGTCAGAGTCGTCAATATTGAGGAAGACGGCCACCATGGAGTCGTTCTTGTAGGGGAAGTAGAGGTAGTCCTGGTGCATGAGGTAGGGCGCGCCCTTCTTGGGCGGCTTGTTGTGGGCCTTGGTGTGGTGCAGGGCGATGTTCTGGGTGCCCATCACGTCCTGCAGCGCGTCCAGCAGGCGCTCGTCGGTCAGGATCTCGGTGAACACGGCCGAGTGCATCTGCAGGTTGTGCACGGACTGGACCTAAGGGGACGAGACCATCACGGTTACCATGGGCTATGCTCCGGGACTTCCCTGGCGACCCGGGGGAGAACTGTGGAGATAAAAGAGTTTGCATACCGAGTAGTCGGACGTGTCCTTGGCGTTGGCGGCCTTCTTCATCTCGTCGCCACGCCACGCAGCCTCCATGCCGGGGTTCAGCTTCCTCTGGAACAGCTCGTCGTACTCCTTGCAGATGCGGTCCATCTCCTTGGGACTGAACAGCCTGAACTTGACGTAGCCGTTCTCCTTAAAGAAGGCGACATCCTCCTGGGTCAGGAACAGCGGCATGGTGGTTGGTTGGTTGTTGCGGGTAAAGTTACAGCACTCGGTTCGAATCGCGCGCGTACTCTCTCGCGAAGGCGCGGTGGGGAAGTCGGACTGCGGTCTGCGGCCTCCCCCCGGGCCCCGCGTGCTTTATACGGAGGGAAGGGCTGTTTACGATGTTTATCGGGCGCGGAGGTCCGCGCGGGCTCGGGCCGGTAGTGGGGGCGGCTTGGTGGAGTCGTCGTGTGACGTGCTACAAAAAGAAGTGTATGAGATAGGAAAAGAAATACAAAAATAATAGGAGAGACAGATAAGGAGAGAAAGTAGCGATGAATTATTGGGGAGCGTCGTCATTGGTTCTGTAGCGTTGTAAAGCTAGCCCAAAGTTTTGGTGCTCCCCCTGGCATTTTCTCACAACAGCTACTAGGGAAGCACTTAATTTCTTTGACCTTAACGGGTATCCACTGCCTTGAGTTCTCTAGTCCTGTTATAGTGGCGCTTGAAGGGATTCTGCAAAACAGCCGTGATAATGCTCTGGTTGACCAATGTGACCCGTCACCTCTTGACATGTTACGCTCATCGTGATAATGTCTTCTTTCTCTCCTCGCTTTCTCCACCGAAGCAAAATAAAGTTGAGGAGCGTGGGCGAATCGCGCGGGAGCTGATGCCCAGCCAGAAAAAGATGCCCCTCTTGTAGTCACAAGCAATCAGAGAGAAAGTTCAAGGATGCATTTAAGTTGAGATGAAAAATGGGTTCTAGAAAATATAGCAATATTATGATGAAAAAGACTTTCAAAAAAAGCATTTATTAAACATAGAATATCAATAATATAATCAGAGAGCATAAATACTTAAAACATGTGATGAAAAATACGTAAATACAGTACCAGATGATAATGTTTTGATCATAGCTCAATTTTTAAAAAGAGAGAAATGGTCTTATTACTGCAAATTTCTTTTACAGAATGGATACCAATTTTGGAAAAAGAGCAAGTTGGGTGTTAATGAGAGTTTTGAAGAACCCTTTGTACACGTCATTCTTGAATACTGCATGCAAACATAATTTTTGTAAAGTAATAAATGGAAAACATGAATACACTACTTTAGAACATGAAGAGACTGGTTATTCATCTTCATAACATTTTTAAACAATCAAATTGCAATGAAAATGTACAACAAGTCTGGACATGAAATTCTTTAACACCCCTCTAAAATTTATCACAGAGTAAAGGAAACAAAAATTTTAGCGAGAAAATCACACATCATTCACTAATAAAACACTGGAACACAGTCTCTAACAATGAAACCATAATCACATTTTGTACTTATAGATGCACACCACATTAACTCAAAAATACCTCGTAAAAATGTCTTTAAAAGCTCCCCGTATTTTTGTTTTAAATGCAGTCAAAGCTTAATAATAGCTTAAGTATATTTTTTTAAATGTGACACTTGGTTTCTGAAGTAAAATAACTATAGTATGACATTGGCAAGTGATCTGGCATACTTTCATACTTTAACTGTGAAGAGATTTGTGGAGAATCAATAGTAAATTGCAAGGAAAGTTTTCCTTTAGATTAGAAACATAAAAACATGTAGGTTAAACAGTAAAGACCCTAAATTACAAAACTGTCACTTGGACAAGTTTCTAGGAAGTCTTACAAAAATGTCAAAATGTGAAATACATAAATACAACACTATAATACCAATAAAGTTAAGCCTTTTATGTAAATACAATAAGCCCAAGAGATTGTACTTATAGTCACAAAATTAACCACTCTACATTACCAATAAAAATTATCCTGCAAAGATCTTAACAATATTGACTAAAGTATTATGTCTTTTATGATTTTTTTTTGTCAACTGTCAACATACCAAAAACAGTGCTGCGAGGATAAGACTCCTTCTGGAATGGGTTGATTTGATTAAGAAATAGCTTGAAATTCCTTCTTGTTAATGATGGTCTAGGCTGCATATGTACCCTCCAACTCATCTGTATAGTTATGTTGGATTAGAATCACTACAACAGGTTTAAAGACAATGTCTAGTAAAGAATTGATTGAACACTACCTGCAACATCATTGAATCCATCTTCCCGAAGTACTGTGACAAGTCTTCCAAGTGTTGCTTTTTTTGGATGGGCTCCTTTCCATTCCTCCAGAAGGTGAAGCACACAGGCGTCTACATCTTCTCCATTAGTAACCATTCGCTGGCGTAGAATATGAACAACAGGTGTCATCCCAAGAGAATGTGCCAAAGTTGACCATCTTTTAACAACACGGTGATTGCGCCGCACCTTTGTCATCATTTCATTTGTTATAGCTGTAGTAAATTAATAAACATGAAAATAAGAACTCTTAGGAGGGTAAACATAAAACTGATAGAAAAGCAAGTCAGAAATTGGACTTACTTTGATCCAATTTTTTGTTGATAATTTCACAGTTGGCGGAGACAGTTTCTTCGGTTTTCTTCACATCGGAAGGAATGTTTTCCTTTTCAGCCCTAGGGGGTAGGGCACAGCTATCTGGTGAACTAGACGTGTGTACCGATCTATCACTTTCCTCAGTTGTTTCAGTTTGCTGTGGAAATGATCAGAATTAGAAGTTTAAATTAATTACTCTCCCTACCCAAAAATATAGGTCTCTTTCATACCTTCTTCACTTCTACAGATTCAGGGTTTTCAGGTAGTGCATTGACAGGACAAGAATTAGTTTTCTTCTGAAGAGCGTCTAGTCTAATTTTTTGAAAGAAGATTTCACATTTGTCTCTAATCCAATCATAGTCCTCTTCCATTATCTCCAGGAAGTTCTCATGGTCTTCTTCTGATTTATTCCGCATGAGCTCCATCAACATTTCTACTTTCTCTTCATTTTTAGAGTAGCTATTTAGGAGTATAAAATCAGATCTGGAAAACACAACAAAATGCACAAACATAATTATCAAATACTAGTCAGGAGGCTTATGTTAAGAGAAATGTCATTACCTGTTGAGCACATTCCTCTGATGCAATTTTACATCAATTAAATTGTATTGTAAATCATTTAGTATTTCTCTAGGTATGGCAGTCAGCATTTTCTTCATTTTCTTGTTCCTGAAAATAGGAGATCAAGAGTAAGATGACAGATTAAATGTGTGTTTACTTACTCCAGGAGCCAAGCAACATGCAGCCAGCACTGTGGCACAGTTTTGTATGGTTTGACAAAAAAATAATGTGATAACATCCAACAGGTGAATTGTTGCCATTAATTAATCAAAACGTCAAGCAGGAGATTAAGCTTAGAGACTTACGTATGAATTATGTCCTGCTGCGTACACTGGGGTTTACTTTCTGGGTTATTGACCATTGTAAATTAGGAAAAGGCAGAAGTCCTTATTTCTTTAAGCAAAACAAATGCAAGCAAATCTAACCTAAATAAGCAAACAAGTAACGGGTAGTAAGCTTTACATGAAGATTGGAGGCAAGAGCCAAAACGATAAAAACGGCAAGCGTTAATTCAGTACTACAGAATATAGCTTCAAAGTAAGAACAAAAGCCTTCTTAGCGAAAGACGCCAATTTCGGCACATGCTTAACTCGGTCGTAAGCACCGGTTTGGCGTCCATCGAAAAATAAAGTGAAAATGCACACCTTTCCCCAAGCAGGAAAGGACACTCGCTCTCAAATGAAGAAATCAAAGCACTAAACAGCAAGGACCCACCTTTTCTGCTAGGCTAGGAGGCGCGGTTCTAATTGGCGTTCAAGGAGACAGGTGTTTGAAGGGACCGGAGCCGAGGCGGAACCACAAACACAACAACACAAACACAATGGCAGACAGACCAAACAGACAGGATCACAGGACATCGCTGCTTACTGGGAGCTCCGCTAGAGGGGGCGATGGTCAGCGCCCGCCCCTGGACAGGAACCGGATAAAATATTTTTGGAATGACTTTAACAAAATACCCTTACAAAAAAATACACTAGAATAAGAAACAACAACATGAAACAAATGGGGTGTTGGGCTTCATTTGAATTGCGGTGATAGCTTATCACCATGCGAGGAGAAAGGGGGGAACAGCAGTAAAAGCCCCAGGGAACGACTTTTGGCGGGAAAATATTTCATCACATGCGTGGGCCGCTGATCTTCTCCGCCTGTCGTCGATCTAGCTCTGGGTTTCCTCTGATCCCACAAGGACCCGTACTCGCGAAATTGAACATGCAAATTGGTGACTGCAAAAACATGGTGCACAAGGTGATTTCGCGACAGTAAAACTGCTATGCGGAGGGTTACCGGAGAGGGGGAAGGGGGGGTTCAGATTCTGTTTCCAGAGATGTGAGCCGGAACGCACCTGGGGGAAAAGGGAGAGGGAGGGGGAGAGGTGGGGTCGGCAGGGTACGCCTGAACTCACCCCACCGTAGGGCCCGTGCGCTACAACGCTAGGCCACGCTACGCGACGCTACGCCACGCTATACTACGCCGGGGGGCTGGTGGCTGGCGCGGCGCGGGGGGCGGCGCGCGGCACGGCGCGCTGAGCGGGCTCTGGAGGCGAGGGCGGCGAGGGCAGGGGCAGGCAGGGCGAGCCAGTCGCTAGTCGCTGTGTGGCCGTGCGCGAGGGAGGGTCGTCGAGCCCGTGCCGTGTACCTAGGCCCCGTGTGCGTGCGTGCGCGTGGCGTGGCGTGGTGGTGTGGCGTGCGCGTCCGGCCCCTGGAGGCCCTCGTCACGAGTCTAGGACTCTCCCGAGCGGAGCATGGCGGCCGAGAACCGGCAGGCGGCTCCGCGACGGCGGCGAGCATGAGGGACCCCGTCGTCCTGGTCCTCCCCCTCAGCAGCGGACACACCGGAGAGCAGCCGCCGCCGCACCGCCGCTAGCCGGCCCCATGGCCGCCACCGAGTGGATCGCAGCCATCGACAAGCGGTGAGTCCCGCTGGACCCGAGGTGTCCAGGGTGGGCGAGTGACGGCGGCGGCCAAGCCGGCCTCCCGGACCCCGGCCGGGACGGCGGAGTGCATCTGATAGCAGGGAGATAGGGGTCAAGCTTCGGGCAATGGCGTAACCACCGGGGGGGCCGGGGGGTCCGCGGCCCCCCCAACTTTCAAGTTAGGGGGGCCGTGCCCCCCCAACTTTCAGACCGACTAAGCAGAACCTAATTGATCAGTTCGGGCCGATGCCGACTGTCAGTTGAGACGCTACTGTATGGCTCTGGATTTGACTGGTATTCTTAGGGAATTTTCTTCCGCTAATGATGACAGAGAGAAGTGTTTTGGAAAAGTTTAAATCAATTTTTCATTTTACTGCTTTGATGTTGAATGATCTTTTGAACTATTATGACAAATAGATTGTTTTTTATGTTTATCACTTGATTCCCTTCTTTTTTTATTCAAAATACCCTAATTCTTCTATATAACACGGTCTTTGAGTCCGCCTAGTAGGTAGGCAACCCATACTACGGCCCCCCCAACTTTTTTGTCGTGGTTACGCCTCTGGCTTCGGGTCGGTTTGACTCACTGGCCGCCGAGTCGAGAGCCGCGGCTGCGCCAGGGGCCGGGAATACTCCACGACGACGGCCTTTTCTCCTTTACTGCTGCAGCAGCGTTGCTGCAGTGTGGCCTTTCGCGGTCCCCGCGCCGCGCGCCTGCACCACGGCGACGAGTCAGTGTCAGAGTCAGGCCAGCCACCCTGGTGGGACATCATTTGACGCAAATGGGAAAACTTGGAAATGAAGGGAGAAAGCAAAATCTAGTCTCAGCCGCAGCGACAGCAACCGCGACGGCGGGGTGGCGGTGGCGGAGTGCAACGATGTCACGCCCCCGTGTTTCACCAGCGTCGCCGCCCGACCCCGACACTAGGGGGAAAAGGGGGGGGGGGGGTTAACGAGGGACGTAATGAGGGAATGCGGAAGGTTTACGGCGGAGGTCATGAAAGAGTAAAGGAGTCACTGGGATTTGAAATCAGGGATTCAAATTTCACTCAGAAAAATTAACTTTAACTTATAAGGTAAATCGGGCGAACCACTTATTCATCATTGTTATGACTGAAGTAATTATGATTATGAAAGGCGAATCAATTCTTTCGCTTGAAAAGTAAAGTGATTATAGGGTTCACAGAAACCACTTTTGATTTAATTTTACTTAATGGCCTGGAGATTGGGGTAGGGGGTCGCAAAGCGCGGTGACCGCAAGCGCGCTGTTATTGGGAAACAACTACTTCCCCTTTCATACCTGGAGGAGGTGGGAAGGACGGCAAGGCTAATGCAGGCGCGGTTTTAAGGGGGGGGTGAAGGGTCGACCCCCCCCCCCCACGTCGCTCCAAATCGCCTCCTAGGGTAGGTAGGCAATTTGTCCTACAAAAACCCTCTGAAAGTAGGCAACCCACAGTAAATCGCCCCTTCCGTCAGCCGGGCGCCTGGGCTAATGAAATGTATTCGGTGTCTGCGGCCATGAACGGAATTTTCTCATCACAGCCCACACAAGCATACATGTGATTACATTTATCCGCAGCAAATTGTTTTCCGGGGTGCTAGTGTATCGCGCATAGTTCAAAAGGTACAGGTGAGTGAAGGTGGTAAAAGGGTACAGAGGCGTGGGTGGAGGTGACCCGCATACCTTAACCACGTGAAAGGAAAGGTGAAGGCGGCGGGGGC